ACGTGAACGAATCTGCAAGAATTATACTTTTAATCATTATTAGCATTTATATATATATATATATATATAAATGCTAATAATGAGTAACATTCTTATTAAGTTTGACTGTACTCCAGATATGAAACACGACCCCGTTTATCTCCCCAGCCGGTCGATCTCTAACTACCAAAATTTAATAGCATCAATTCGCCTAATAAACAAACCTCCCTACAAAATTTTAGAAATTTTTGACAAAAAAGTCACAGCAGTTATTAATTAAGCTTCAAACTGAGTGAACGAAATCGTACCCCCACACACACATCCAAACATCCATGCACACAGAAATTACCCTCCAAATCTTTTTGCATTTCTTGACGTTTCATGGTGTACTGAATCCAAAAATGTAAAAATCTTGTATGTCATTTTATGACCGATCGTCATACTTTTCCTCTGTTACATATTACATTCGAAAAAGTAAAAACATAAGAAAAAATAACTAATAATTAATTTTTGCTTAACTGTAGACTAGATTTTAATTCATAATCGTGAATCATTATCATCGTTTAATCCAGTGTTTTTCAACTTCTTTCTATTGGTGGCACTCCCAACTCAGTATGATTTTTCCTTGTGGCACTCCTACTCTCTTATCAATATAGAGTTATTGCCCTTTCCGTATTTTAATAGTACGATGTAAGATGTGTTCAGGCCATCGAACACTTGTGCAGACCCCGACCGTACAACGGGCATCTTTGACATTTTTTGCTTGAAAACATTATTTAACCTATTTCACGTTAAATAATGTTTCTTTATTAATAAAAGAATGGTCTTGAAGATTTTATTTCTTGTTAGAAAAAATATAATAATAATAATTTATAGGTGTAGTAATCGCTACGGACACGTAAATTTTTTGGTAAGATTTGGGAATATTCTCCAGCTCCTCCCTCTCGACTGCCGTGGAAGTGTTATGGTGTTGCTCCTCACTATATTTCGCGCAACCACGAAGTGTCGTTGTGGCACCTTCGTGGGTGGCGGCATCCCGGTTGAAAAACAATGACTTTATCGTTCTAATGTTCTGTTGGATCCACATTACAATATTTCTCCATCTCATTCTCTTCTAAACCTCTTCTTGTTTTACATATTATAGCCATTTCTTCTGCACATCACAAATCATTTTTTCACCTTTTCTTTCACATTGTGTTAGGATGTTATTTCTATCATAATCTGATTAATTTACTATCATNCTCTCTTCTTGTAAAGTTGTAATTATTTTAATTATTTTTATTTCCAAACTGATTTTAACCAGTTCTATAGTAAGGTAACATTCCAATAGACAATATGCAAAGCTTTTTTTTCAGTTTACAGCAGTATTTATTACACAAAATTTAAGTAAAGCTTAACATGCCGATCTTGCCCCGATCTCCCCTAATAAAACCAGGAAAGTACAAGAAAAATAAAATGCGAGAAATTACAATTATTTATTAACATATAAATACTTAATGTGACTTCTGAAACTGATGCGAACGTAATATATCCGAAATATTTAACCGAATATTAGTCACAACTATTTTTAAATTATTTTTTGGTACACGAATCTGTTGGCCGATTTGTTATTTTGGCTACTTTTTACTAAATTCATCGGGGCTTCTCGCCTCTAAGGTTTCCATCGGGTCTCGATTTTTATCTATCTAACTCCATTCTCGAGATTAAGGAAAGACTGAAAATTTATATGTCTACAGTTTTTTTTCAAATTGCAGCCCAATATAATCTTCACAGCTCTACACAAAGTGTTGAGTGAAGTCAGGTTAAATCACCGGACGTGTACGAAGCTTTGGTACTTCGTGTTTGGCACTTGGTGTTTAAATTAATACGACTGAAGACCGCTCGATGTCGATATTTAAAATTTTTATTTTTGTTTAATTTTATATATGTTTTTGAGATATTTTGTGCAACACGGCCGCACAAAATACTAATATGACCCCACGCCCTTTTTTAAAGAGTGACAAGTAATATCGGGTGACCTTTAAAACTATCAGAGAACAAAAAACAATAATAAAACGTTAAATTTCGAACAAAAGCATGTCATTCGGAGATGTCATGGCTTCAAGATCATCTCCGATTTTCCGAGAGATTGCCTATAATTCTTATAATATGTTCGTGAAATGTTAGTAAAAATTTAAGTATTGTGTTTTAACAGAAAAACTCAGAAAAATTATTAAATCAAATGCAGTAGACATTGTGTCTAGTGTCTTTATAAAATTATGCGCTAGTCGATATTTTCATTCGTTGAGTGTTGCGAGTGACGTATCACTGACATGGACCCATCATCGGTAATTTAAAGTAGATTTTTACAAAATAAAATCGGATTTTGTGTAAAATTATTGAAACATATATATATTTAATTGTCTTATGTCTTATAAAATTCCAAAGATACATTTAATTTTCCCAGTGTAAATAAAAGTTGTGTGAGTGTACTCGGCGAACGGCGAACAGTTCCAAAACTATAGCACCAAATATTATTTAATTTAATGTCCTTTAAACAAAGGCTAATTTTTTATTCTGTTGGCTACGTAAACTGGGATAAACATCGCTTTAGGATACTCCTATCTTGGCCACTTAAGTGAGACTAAGTAGCTATCAAGATGGAATATGAATTATATTAAAATTTATGCAGTTTTACAGAAGAATTTCAAACGTGGTCACGAAAGCGAGGTTTTTATCTCATTATAAATAAATAAGTAGTAATGATTTGTTAATTAATTAAACATTTTTGTCAATTGGAATAACACTTTTATCGTTTAGTAGACTTTATCGTTGAACCAAAAAATTAACATTTTTTGGTTCAACGATATATTTTTTTTTCTAGAATGTGTAACTTTTGAATTATTTCGCTGTATCGATTAAAATGATCCACAATGTATCATTATATTTATTTTTATTATTAATTACAAATTAAAAAATTAATTAATTAAACGACATATTTTATTAAACGATTTTAAAATTTACTTTTTAATTCACGAGAAAATGAAATTTTGTAGAATGTAATGTTTACTCAATCTGAAAAATCTAAACATGAAACTGTATATATGCTGCAAACAAATTCTTTATTTCAATTAGAAAACTTCCAATAATTAAATTTAATTTTTAAAATTTCTCTTTATTAAACGATATAATCATTGTTGTCCTGTTAGAGAGTTCATTTCTTCAGTCTGTTGTCAAACTACAAAAAAAAATTGTATTTTAGAATAAATAATTTCAATAAAATTTAAAATTTAATTTTTCACAATCGATAAAAGATTATATAAATTTCATAAGATGTAATTAAGTTATAACGTAAAATAAAAAATTGTCAGTTAGATTTATGAATATTATCATAAAATTACTTACATTGTCATTTACATTATTATATAAATCATCATGTATGTCATTAATAGATTCTTTGTTTAAAATTTCTACCATCAAATCGCATAACGGAACCAATTTTTTGTTTGTGTTTTTGTTGCATTCCATCAAAGATATTTCCTAGAAATAACATTATAATAAGCAATTTAAATAAGATAATAGAATATTTTTTAATTTAAATCAGTAAAGTAAACGGTCAACATAAAAATAATGCTTAAAATTATCAAAACAATTTATTATGTGTTTGTAATATATAGGCCTATATTAATTAACAAGACATTGCTTTCTTTATTTTTAATTTTTACATTATATCGATAATGAACAATGAATGTTCGTAATGAACAATTGAATGTCGACAGAACGACTGAAGACTAGAAAAACATCTACGGATAAACGAATTACTTATTTTTTGTTTTCTGGTTCACAAGCCTGTTAAATAACACCAGGCGTTGGGAAAAACTAAAATAAATATACAACAAATAAATTCAAAAACATGATATAAAAGTAAACAAATGAGTTAATAAGAAGCGAGACACAAGTACAAATACAGTACTATTCAACTGTATGAGACATTCACAGGCGTATGAATCTACCTCCTCCTGATTCTCATTCAAGATTCTAATTATGAATGATGATATCAAACAGTCAAATTGTTTAGACATTGTATTAAAATAAAACTAAGATTAATAACTTCTTGTGTAACAAGTGAAATTTTAATAGCATTGATGATTTTGGAAACTTTGTGGTTAATCATAGTTTTAAAAAAAATATATCTATTAAAGGTGAACAATATGTTATATTCAGCGGCGGGTCAAGACCTAAATTTGCTACGGGCAAGGTACTCTTCGCGAGGCCCTCTGGTGGCGCAAGAAAACGGATTTTATAAAATAAAAAGCAGTTGAAACTGTCAAATTTTTATTCCTAAAAATGCAAACTATATTCTTTAACTAACATTTAAAAAAATTAAAGAAACAGAAATTTCCTGCTTTTAGCCTTACTAAACTCCTTAATAATTGTATCGTAATTCAGTTTATATGCTATATATGCTTTAATAGATAAAACTGCCAAAGCTGAAAGTCTTTCCTGATTCATTGTATTTCTTGAATAATCTTTTATTACTTTTAATTTTGAAAAGCTCCTTTCAGCGTAGGCTGTACTTACCGGTATTGTTAACAAAATTCGAACGGCAATGTAAATATTTGGGTAAATTTCTTTCAAGTCATTTTCTGTTATGTATTGGAGCAGCTGTTTCACATCTTTAATGAAGTTGGGTAAATTTGGGATCATTGTTTGTAATTCTTCATATAATTCGTAAGGTTGTGACAGATTTTTAATATTTGCTCTTTTAGAATATTTTTTAACTCGCTTAGCTCATAGAGAAACCAAAATTTTCAAAATGTTGATTTAAAGACATAAATCTCGAATCCATATTGCTTATTATAGAATCAATCGTGGTGTTAAAAAAATCTGTTTCATACCTGCTTTTGGAAGACTGTATAGGTTGATCGCTGCCTTCATCATCGAATATCCTTTTCTTTTTGGCTACCCTTTCGTTTTTAAAGTCTTTTGGCAGTTCATAACTGCTATTCTCAATAAATTGACGAGCGTCAGACAAGCATTTTTCGAATCCAGTTTGTCGATATTTTTTAATCCAGTCACAAAACGTACACAAATGTTTAAGAGCATTACTTAAATGGACTTGTAAAGATTGCCATAATTTGCTTATGATATTAACACGCGATAATATCTCATACCATACATGTAATGATATGATAAATTCTAAACTGAGCATTTCGTTTAAAACCGAATCACAATCACTGACAAGGAAACTGTCGGAGTGTTTTCTAATAAATTTTAAGAAAATTTAGTTAATAACTACGTTAAAAGTATACAAACTCTATTTTAAATTTCTAGCATTCACTAAAAGTGTTGATCAGAGTTATTAGCAATCAAGTGTTGCACTACTTTATAGTAGTTTAACACAATTACGCAAATTTTTAGAAGTGAAAGGGCCGCGGAGGAAAACGGCGATATTACATTTAGAATAAATTCTGAAATTTTCAAAAATGGGAGAAGAATTAATAAAATTTGGTTAATAATTATGTTAAAAGTATACAAAATTTTATTAATTCTTCAACCACTTTTGAAAATTCCAGAATTTATTCTAAATGTAATATCGCCGTCTTCCTCCGCGGCCCTTTCACTTCTAAAAATTTGCGTAATTGTGTTAAACTACTATAAAGTAGTGCAACATTTGATTGCTAATAACTCTGATCAACACTTTTAGTGAATGCTAGAAATTTAAAATAGAGTTTGTATACTTTTAACGTAGTTATTAACTAAATTTTATTAAAATTTATTAGAAGACACTCCGACAGTTCCCTTGTGAGTGTGTCTGATTGTTCCGTTTGATTTTTTAAGCTTTCGATGCATTCAACATCAAATTGCAATAATACGGTCTTCACTGTTTCGATTCTGCTTTCTCACCTTGTGTCTGATAAAGGCTTCATAGTAAGCTTTAATTTGCCTTTGATTAATTCCCGGCGTTTGCTGGAACTTGAAAATAGCAAATAAATTTTATGAATAAAACCAAAAAATGTTTTTGCTGCCATAGAAGAATTAGCTGTGTCTACCAATAGTAGATTCTAGCTATGACAACCGCAAAGTGTAAAAAATGCACTGGAATTAATATTTAATATTCGAGTTTTAACTCCACTATTTATGGGATACTTTACTGCAATATTTTTATTGGTTTTCTAGCCGTTGAGAATCGTGAAAGTAATGTAGACAAACACAATGGGAAATCCCCAGCTCTGGCTGGCAAGGATTCCCCGTGATAGCAACCCAACGCCAGCAAATGTTGCTAGATAAATACTGTAAAAACAAATTTGGTATGCCAATATATTTATCGTTTTATGACGAGTAAAAATTTTTTTTTTTTTTTTGAGTTTACGGCTTTTATGTAATGCATAAACCTTCGAAGCGCGAGGCCCCTCGGACAGCGAGGCCGTAGGCGGTGGCCCACGTCGCCCACGCCTTACGCCGCCTCTGGTTATATTGTCAATATCCCAATAACTTATTCATAATAATTACGCATTTTTAAATACATTTTATAAAGTAAATTATTTTTCTCGTTTAGATATAATTTATATATAGGCTACGTATTACAAAAATAAAATATTAATGATATTTTTTGTACCTTTATTTTATTTCTGTAAATTCTGAGAATATTAAAAGATATAAAATAATATTACCTTTGACTTTGCATAATAATAATCGCATTGACTTGTTTCCGGAGGAATCTAGAAAAGTTAATTTTCTATTAATTTCTGGTCATATGTCACAATACTATTTAAATGTTACTTGAATATGGAACATCATTAGCAAAATGTTAATTATAATTTCTGCTACATTCTTGTATTTTTATATATTTTTTCTTTTTAGAAGACATTTAGAATACATTAGAAAGTGCGTAAACATTAGCTGTTTTGTTTCACGCCATATGTTAATAAGTCGATAGACGTTACATGAAATGTTTACTTTCATTAGATGCTTAAATATATTCATGTTTTATCTGCAGAAATAAGGTTAGAATTGGTTAGGCACTTTTTGGAATAGCAAATTTCAGCACATGGTTGTTACACGCAGACATAATTTAGTTATATACAGTATAAATTCATAATATGTGTATAATATAGATATATACATAGAAGAGAAAATATTTTATAATAAAAAGAATGAGTCACAGTTATTATTTATATAGTATATAATTATGACATTTGTTAGAAAAAACAATTAATAAAAACTCTAAAATTAAATAATGTTTAAATCAGTTAAAAATAATTAATTTTTGCTTAACTGTAGACTAGATTTTAATTCATAATCGTGAATCATTATCATCGTTTAATCCAGTGTTTTTCAACTTCTTTCTATTGGTGGCACTCCCAACTCAGTATGATTTTTCCTTGTGGCACTCCTACTCTCTTATCAATATAGAGTTATTGCCCTTTCCGTATTTTAATAGTACGATGTAAGATGTGTTCAGGCCATCGAACACTTGTGCAGACCCCGACCGTACAACGGGCATCTTTGACATTTTTTGCTTGAAAACATTATTTAACCTATTTCACGTTAAATAATGTTTCTTTATTAATAAAAGAATGGTCTTGAAGATTTTATTTCTTGTTAGAAAAAATATAATAATAATAATTTATAGGTGTAGTAATCGCTACGGACACGTAAATTTTTTGGTAAGATTTGGGAATATTCTCCAGCTCCTCCCTCTCGACTGCCGTGGAAGTGTTATGGTGTTGCTCCTCACTATATTTCGCGCAACCACGAAGTGTCGTTGTGGCACCTTCGTGGGTGGCGGCATCCCGGTTGAAAAACAATGACTTTATCGTTCTAATGTTCTGTTGGATCCACATTACAATATTTCTCCATCTCATTCTCTTCTAAACCTCTTCTTGTTTTACATATTATAGCCATTTCTTCTGCACATCACAAATCATTTTTTCACCTTTTCTTTCACATTGTGTTAGGATGTTATTTCTATCATAATCTGATTAATTTACTATCATTCATTCTCTATACATACTCATGGTATCGTTTGATTTGCAGACTTATCGTAAGCTTCTCCTAACATATGAAGTTGTAATTTTGTCAATCTTAATTTATCCAAGAAATTAATTAAGAAGATTTTTAAGAAATTTCTTTTTCTTTTTCTGCATTCTGCTAATATATCTGTCTTTCATTATCTGTTCTGTTCGGTATAAATGTAAGCACATATACAGTACATAATACAGTCGACCCCCCTATAAGATATAGATACGTTCCATTCTTTAGGAATCCGATTTCTTACGAGTCGTTCCAATCACAGCCCGACACGTGTTAAGTTTACGGACTACGGCTGATTGAAAAGTTTTCTTCCATAAAATTAATCGATTCGAGACTAATCCGACTCAAGATTTCCAAAATACGTATATTTTTTTTGGAAATAATCCGTATAAACTACGCTATAAATAAAAAATTGTAGGATTACTTACCGAGTGTCACCATTCGACATCGCCATTGCTCAACATTGTTTTCGTCGCGGAACAGCTCAGCAAACCGCGGCCGATTTCTAATAACTTATTTTTCTGCGAATAGTTCCTTGAACTTCGGAGACATCATTAACATAAATAATTTTAATCGCCGTTGAATAAGAAATGTTTCTTTCACAAGAAATGTATAAAATTACAGTACTGTATTAGACTTACGGTACCTAATTTACATACTGTACAGACGATAGTTAGCGTAAAAATCTCCGTAGCGTAGCGCCACGCTAGACGGCGGAAATTATATATTTAATTATAACAAAGTTACAATAAGTTAATATATAATTATATATACAGTACCTAATTTATATATAATTAATATATAATTATATGTACAGTACGACCGTAATTATAGGGGGGTCGACTGTATATATAATTTATATAATACTGTCCAGACGATAGAAATATCTCCGTAGTTGGCGCTACGGACAGCGGGAAAGTAGTTCGGCTGCCCGATGACGTTTGAGGTAATTATAGGGGTGTTTTACTGTTTTTTACCGATACCGGTCACAATTTTTTCGTAGTTTTATAGGAATCGTAATTATAGGGGGGTCGACTGTACGTCATCATGCAATATCACAGCATTTTTGTTATAAATCTGTTACACACTATGAAAAATTTCTATTGTGTTGTATATTTTGTTATATTCTCTGCTGTTGTCTAATTAACTGTTGTCTAATTAACTGTTGTATCTCTGTTGTCTAAAGAAAATTTCTTTAATTATTAGGAAAAACGCGATTATTAAAGATTAGAATACGAAAAAAATAGAAGAAGACTGTAAATATTTTTATAACATAAATAAAAAATTTGATATAGAATTTAGATGTACCACAGAAATAGAATGTGACATTAATAAAAGATTCATAAATTAATCGTAAAATATTATTCCAGGAGTAATTGTAGATGTTATGAACCAAGTGATTAATAGGACATTATTTATAATGCCCAGCCGTGATAAATAATGATTAATTTATTAAATTGACCAGTCATTATGAATACAGCTACATTCCTTTTGGGAAATTTGATTATTTTTAAAAATTCTCCATTTTTTTCATTAAGAATTATTTATATTTTTTGTAAAAAGTAAATATATATTTGTGAATTATTTAAAAGTAAGTATTATTAACTGTATTAATTAAACTAACGTTAACGACGTAGCTATCGTAGAAATAGAAAAATTAATTATGCCTGTAAAAGAAAGTAATTTGATTAAATATTATGTTCAAACTTAATAAATATTTCAGATATTGCTTGGTGACCACATTGCTATTGACCATGGTGGCAGAAAGCGTATGGAAAAGGAATTAAGTACGAAATATAAAGATATTACAAAGGATACAAGATATCATTACTTAGTCCATAACTTAAAAAAATTATTACAATATTATGTTAGAAGTGAATAGAATTAGAACCTTTTGTTTGCTAAGATCTAAGATTAAATTGCAAAATGCATAATTTCCAAATTATGTGTTTTGCAATTTAAACAGAAAGATTAAACAATATTATTTTTAGAGCTAATTTTACGTCTCCACACACTTGATAACAGTCTAATTATAAAAATATCTAAGTTTATACTTACACCAATTTCATTATTCAATTTTCTACAAAATTCTTTCAAAATTTCTCCATTCTAAGATTATACATAATTAATTTTGTGAATATTTATTTCTTTTTTGAACAATTTTGTAAATTACATAAATAAAGTTTACCTCCATAAAATATTCAATTATTTGCGATTTACAATAATCATCTTTAAACATGCAGTCCATTATTATCTAAAAAAATATAATAATAATAATAACAATTATACAAACAAATCAATAATTATAATACTACATTAATATAGAAAAGTAAATACCGTCTTATATAAGTCTGATTCACAATTCTTTTTATTCTAAATAAACAAAGTTATTTATATACATATTTAATATATTAATAAAATCCATTAAAAAAATTAATTTGTTATTCATAAAGAATATTAATTAGAGAAATTCATGATATACCTCAAAATAGTCGCCTGGTTTATTTAGAGAAGATTTACAGCAACTTATATCTCTTTCACGTATCTAGATGAAAAATTAACATTAATTAATAATAAATTTAGAGTTTTGACAGAAATTATATATATTATTTCAAAAACATTTTACCATTGATTCATTAATTTTCTTCACAAAACAAGTATTGAAAATGTTCATGCAGTGATTCCTACTTACACCATGAGGTGCTAGAAATTTCACGAGTATTAAAATAAAATAATAATAAATATTTGAGTAAATACGAAAAATTAAAATAAATAAAAATTTCTAATGTAAAAAAGTTTAAGGAAAAAATGTGAGGCTTTTAACATTTTAAGGCTTTATGTTTTCGTAATGTTTTCTATGAGAATTCTTCTTAATTTAAAAATTTCGAGGGTTGATCTTCTCCTCCAATTATTAGACATTTTATCTTTCATTAAATTATCTTTTTAAATTTATTTTTCTAATATGAGAGTAACTGTGTTTTTATTTTATTTTTAATGCAGCAATTAAGAAAATTATAAATAGGTTTTTACATAATTCAAAAACAATGATCCAATGCTGTTGAGGATAAACTTTAATCGACACATTAAAATCTCTACTGATTAAAATTTGGTTTTATATATATTAGATACACAAATACGATATTTTGCTAATAAATACTTACATGATACTTTACATTTTTTTGTTTTACGAACGATATCACATATTACACCGTAAAGTTCATCGTCGTTATCTTTATCAGAACACATCGAGCATTCTTCTTGCTATGAAATTCGAATTATTTGCAATTTTATTGTAATAATTTTATTATGTTTATGGATTAAAGTTAAAAATTATTTAATTTTATTTAAAAAATTTTTAAATTTATAAGTCTTACTCTAATCGTTTTGCATAATCTTCACAACCTTCTTTACTGGTGGGTTGCTTTAGAAGTTTAAATAGAAAACATTAGCTAATGCGTTTAAAATAAAATATAAAAATATTAATTGATTTTTATATAATTTAGTTATTAAATAAAAATCATAAGAAGATATTTTGAAAATACTCAACTCACTCCAGCAGCATTTCTCAAATCTTTTTCCATTTTTGTGTAATTTTCTGCTCTCTAAATAAATTTTTAAAATTTCAACATGGTTTAACAATTCTCTTAAATGCTTATTATAATTCTCTTTTATTTAATATCCATGAAATTTATTTGTGAATGAATACTCAATATAGGAATAAAAACGTCACATAAATGAATTAAAAGGTAAAAAATAATTTTTTTTTAATCTTTAACAATATTATTGGTATTATGGGACCAAAATTAAAAACGTTGGGCGCTCACTGTTAGAAACGTGGGTATGTAGGCAAAGTTTTAACTATATCGGATATTGGGAAGTAGATAAAATTGAGTTATCTGGATAGACAAACAGAATAAGTTAATAAAAAGCGTATAAAAATACAAAAAATCGACAGGAAAATGCAACGCTAGATTTAAACTTGTGGTCTTAAGTTAAAGCATATAAAAAGTCTTTACTCCCCAGTAAATAATATAAAATTTAAAAGTGCCAACCCTAAATTGTACTGAGGCCCTAAGCTATTGTTTATTTGGCTTAAGTGTAAATCCGATTCCCGAAAATGGTCAACTTTAAAAATTTATAGTTATTTGATTTAATTCAATGTTATAAATTATTAAGTTTATGACATTAATAATAAAACGTAAATTCATAATTAAAGATTATTTTACCTGCATGAAATACATTGCTAAATCCCAGTGGCATTCGTGGTAAAATTCCATGCAATCGAAAACATCCTAAATTAAATAAATTATTCAACAAAATTTTATTCAAACACAAATTATTAATTTAATATAAAATTTAGAATAAATTATAATTATAAAAAGTTTACATTACACATTAAAAATAAATAAATTTTAAAGATACTAACAGTTACTAGTCTCTTTGTTAAACATTCCTCTTCCAACTAAATATAAATAAATAAATATAAATAATTTGAAAACAAGTATAAAAACAAGAAAATATTTAATACTGATCAAGCGTTAAAAACGTATATTATACGGGATGAGTTATGTAAATTGTAACAGTAAAATATCTCAAAAACAAAGTGTTGCAGTGAGGGGGTGTTTAAAATAACATTTTGTTTAATAATCAATTAAACATTTGGTTCTAACATAACCAACAGCACACTTATCATATACTAGCCTGTGTTTATTCAACAATTAAACTTAGCAACACCAAAAGGTAGGTTGTGAAAACAAAAAAAGAACACTTTCGTTAATGTGGATAGTATATGTTAGTGGGTTGTTGAGAGTGTTAGAATAGTGGATAGTCGTGTTGATAGGCTGAATTGAAAAAATTAAAAAGAAGGAAAAAGGAATAATGGAATGAATAGTGATAGTGGGTTCTTGCCTGACACGTGGTTACAATGCTCACTGGAGGAGGACAGTTGTTAAAAAGGATACTCCGACAGAATTTGTTTTTCAAAAAACGAATGTTTGTTGAAAATTCTTGTAGGATATAATTTTATATATGTTAATCTTATTGTTTTTAGTCGTGTTTTTTAATTATAGTATTGTAAATTTGGGAAAGTAAAAGATGATTCAAATATATCCTATTTATATATATTTGATATATATATCAAATATATATCAAATATATATAAATATATTTGAATCATCTTTTACTTTCCCGGCTGTATGTGTACATAACAAAGGAAAGTATTGGAATCGTGTCAAATTTGACTCTCCGAGTTCTTTTTTGCAAATCTTTACGTTTTGAAAACCCGTTAAACCAAAAACGTCAAAAAGGTGGCAAAATAGATATACATCCACAAATTTATTTATTTATGTGTCTTGTGTGTGTAGGTAGTTAGCGTCTACTTCGTTTAATATCTCATGATGGGGTGAAGAGTAAGAAATAAAATTTGGCACGGTATCCTTATGTATAAGGGGCATTAATGCTATTAAATTTTGGTTGTGAAAGGTCGAGTGAATGGAGAGATAAAGGATGATCACGTGTCATATCTCGAGTGGGGTCGGACTTAATGAAGATTTTATCATTTACAGTTTTTCATAAAACTCATCTCTACCCTCAAAATTAAACGTTTTATCATTTTATGATAATTAAAATTATAGAAACTGTTTATAATAAAATATCATAACAGATGGCGCCACACACAATTTTATTTCTTTATTATGATTAATATATATATATATATCGTGTAAATCTATGCCCTAAAACAAACTATTCTCGAGTAGTGAAATATAAAAATAAGATAGATTTAGGATTATGACATTTAATTCATCTGCATGATGCCTAGAAGATACAGTAGAAGAATCCTTTAATTGAATTAAAACAATTGTTAAAAATTTGAAGTCCCGTGCATCACACACCTAGCAATTTCACTACGTCACGCTGCAAGTTCAGTCTAGCAGAAAAGAACAGAAGACAGTTATCGACAGTTTCCAGATTCGGAATTTTTTATCGACCGACAGAAAATTTGGGAAATATTTTGGGATAATTTTTTTTCTACTTTGATCTTTTTTTAGTAGACTAAAACAAAATTTTCATGTGACAGAACATACAATCAAATGTGTTATTCGGATTATTATTCATTAAAAATTATTCAAAAATAATTCCTATTGCTAACAAGGCGAGGATCATACGTTTGGGTCTCTGATTCGAACGAAACGTGGTGAGCATAATTATAAACAGCTCATTGTTCACATAATAGGACCCATTTCCCAAGTGTTTCCAAAAATTGGGCATCTGAAAATTGAGTGTTTAGCTTTTAACTCTTTGAAAGTTTTACGTTCCCGACTGGATAGCTCTTCCTGATATAAATTTAAAAAATACATTCATATATATATATAGGCCTATATATTAATTTCCAATACAAGTATAAATAATTATTAACCTGTCTATATATGAAATCTTTTATAAAATTTTACATATCTTTCGATAACCGTCGTACACTTTCAAGACAATTTTTTTAAGTTTTAAAGTATAATTTTTATTAATAAAAGATGTTTAAATTATAATTTAAATCAAATTTTGTTCCTGTAAAAAAAGAACACTCATTTTGAATTTTACTGTTTATTTCCTATTGCAGGTTATCAAAATCCTTAGCAAAGTTTATAACCTAAAATTTTTATAACTAATTTTTAACTTGTCTAAGTGATTTAAAAAGTTTATATAATAGAATAAAATATGGAATTTAATCAAAATATATTAATTAATTATATTTAGTCCATTATAAATCACATTATTCGATATATAATATTCAGTCGAAAATTTACCTTTTCACGAAATTCATTACCCACGAATGCCTGTTTACAACAGAAGGTTTCTATTGTTCGTACCTGAGAAATTCGATACAATTTTAGCGAATAATATCGAATAACAGTAAAATAATAAAAATAAATAATTTACTCTTGATTCGCAAATTCTCTCCGTGAAGCAATTCTTGAACTTAGTCAAACATGTTTTTTCTATTGATACATAATCAATGAAATAATTATTTAAATATTAAAACTATATTAAATAATATATTTTCTTATTTTAATTGACTACGAAGAACGTAATTAATTTTATTAAATTCTATTAATAGACTAATTCAGACTTACCGTCTCCGTAAATCTCTTTAATGAAGAGGAAATAAGTTATGACGAAGATGCTTAAGCATTTCATGTTCACTCCGAATAATGAATTTTTGGAATTAACACAGAACTCATATAACTTCCTTTTGTGTACATTAAACAGGTGCAGTGATTTATATAATTACGTCTACTCTTTGCTTTTCAAATGCGTTATTGACATTATTAACGTATTTCTTGGAAAATAAAATATTTAAATTAAAATTCCGAAATAAAATTATAAAATTCAATATTAAGCAGTTTCTTACATTATTATTAATATAAATACTTATTAAATTATTGAATGAAGAGTGTGAATAAGTCGATAATTATTTTGTGCAGTTGATTGTAGATCTGATTACTTTTTATAGACTTTCCTTTCTTTACTCAAAAATATGCAAGAAAAATGGATTAATTATAATTTTTTTGCTTTTAAATAGAAAATAAATAAAAGTAAAAAATCATTTTTAAATAAAATCATGATTGAATTGTAATAAATGACGTCTGTTTCGATATTCAAAAGTTATATGAAACATAAACCACACTCATACCCAGCAGAATTAAATAAATAAATAACTTAAACCAACACCTTAATATTCGCTGTGAGATTTTTAATGTAACAAACGTTTTCGATCTATTCGATAGATCATCTTAATTTCTAAAATGTTTACGGAGGTGTGTAAATTGTTACAGATAAAAAGACTTCTTACCACCGCCTATCACCCGGCCTGTAACGGGGTAGTCGAACGATTTAATAAAACCCTAATTGACATTTTATCTCATTATGTATCTACTGACCAAAGAGACTGGGATGAATGGATCCCTTACGCTTTATTCGCCTATAATACGGCGATACACGCCTCTACAAACGAAAGTCCGTTTTTCTTTTTATACTGGAGAGACCCTACCTACCCCTTTGACCTGGTTACCAGCCCTAGAACCGTAGCATACGATATAGAGGACAACTTCGCTTCCGAATTACGGCAAAGAATGAAACACGCCCATCAAACGGCTCAACAATATTCGGAACAAGCAGCAGAAGCCCGACAAGAACGACATCGCCGACAAAATAAACCGCCACATTATAAGATAGGAGACAGAGTATTGTTAAAGGAGGTGGTTACATTAAAGGGGTTAAAGCAAAAATTAGCACCCCAATGGTCGGGGCTTTTCCGCATTATAGAAATTATCAGCCCTGTTAATTTTAAAATAGAAAATATCCAAACGAAGCGAAAAATAAACGCACATGCGGACCGAATTAAACCGACCACTGCTAGAAAAGAATTTAGTCTTGAACCCGACATAATTATGGATTAGTACTGATAGTACCCGTCTCTTCCGGGAGGGGTTAGTTATATGGGAAAAAAATATATTAACATTATAAAAATATTACCTACATTATTATATTTATTCCAACTCCTTACATCTCCTCCTTCTCCCTTTCAAACGCATAAATCGACCAGGAACATGGTTCTATTCGACTCCTCATTCCCTTACGTTAACCATTAGATGACATCCAAAATCTCCTTTTATATCAACTACTCGTAAATTAAATAACACCGGAATAATTGATCTACCAAACGCATGTACAGGCTATTTGCCTGGAGTTATTCTTACCTCTCATTTCCAACAACAATCCGCTCTACAACTGGAAATTGCACAACAATTAATCGTTCCAGCCATTGAGGAAATTCTAAATCAAACCGAGATACAAACACTTCAGAAACATCTAACAACACCAAAAATAAAAGAGATACTCCAGAAAGCTCCTGATTACGATATTCGATTAGCTGATCGAGCCTGGGCTAATGTTCAATATGACCTTGACCACCTGTTAGAGATAACCCCCACCTGTACAGCAACTCCCACCGCTAATTCAACCTCAATGCTAACAATACTTTTTGGTTGTCTTATAACTATCTTTTTAATAATTTGCCTAGGATGTTGTCTTATATATTACTTACGAAGTAAGAAGAAGTCTTATATATTACTTACGAAGGAAGAAGATCGTTGCCACCGGGAAATAATTGTCTCAACGACGAGCCAAATGAAATTTCCCTTAACGATAGAGAAGTAGAGATCACACCGGAAGTCATCGCACCCCTTCCTCGCCAAGAAGCTAAACCTCGAAGCCAGTCAGGTTCACAAAACCCAAGAATATTGTATTAACTTATTGAGCCTCTCACTCAATAACAATTAACTTCCATTTTATGAATTTAGATTGTCTCGTAATCATAAATATAATAATTTTTCGAAGTATGATTATTGTATGTTTAACTATATATATATATATCTTATTTTTAATATCTAAAATATACCCTTAACATTTTCTTTTGTTTTGAATATTTGTAACTATATTCTTATATTTAGATATTCTAATATTAATCTCCCTTTTCCGAGAGAGAGTACTTAACCGGCTATGTAAAAAAAAAATATCATATACCTCTCATCGCTAATTTACATGGTAACTAATTAATCTACTCTAATATTTATTATTTCTGAGTCTATCAGAACAACACCACCTCGCATCGATCAACCCTTTGAAGACCCAAGAAGGCACTACATCAGCAGCTTTAACTACGGATCACAAGTTTATCCAGCGAACTCTTCCGAAAGAAATTTTTATCCACTACTTACATCAATTCATCAGCATCCCATAACCAAGTACCATTGCCAGCCTAGTGTAAACGAAAGAACTCAATATTGGTATCCTCAGTGAACTAACGAACTTCTCAACTCGTCCAGAACAAAGAAAATCTAACAGAACTTTAGTTCTAGGAATGTGAAAGTAGGACCCCACAACTGTAATTAACCAATCAGGGGTAACAACGTCTATACAATATCTGTAAAGGAGAGTATTTCCTCTAGATTTGTAAACAACTATCCCTCACCCCTATCTTTTGTAATTACCACCCATAAAATAATTATAGCTCTTGTATTAATCATATATTTTAATCCCATTACTGCGTTTCCCCGAAAATAAGACAGTGTCTTATATTAATTTTTGCTCTGAAAAATGCGCTAGGTCTTATTTTCAGGGAATGTCTTATTTTTTCCAGGAAGAAGAATTCACATTTATTATTGAACAAAAAAATTCCCAAGTCGAACTTAGACGAGAGTGACGTATATCCGGTGTGTCGAACTGTCGCCTTTTTATAGCGTCAACATCGATCTCGATGACCAATTAGTGCTTACTGTACCGTAGCACTATGCAAATGTCTTGTGGCGTGATTCCCGGCCGACCAATTAGCCATCACCAGCCGTAACGTTATGCAAATCTGTGATTCCCAAGCCATAGTCTTATGCAAATCATGCCGTGTGGCGTAATTGTCTGCTGACCAATCAATGGCTGTACTTTCAAAAAGCCAACGGCCACTTTCAACCATCTGTCGATGACCGTTATGACTAAAAAAAGCTTCGCTAGGTCTTACTTTCAGGGGGAGGTCTTATATTTCGCAATTCAGCAAAATCTGTGCTAGATCTTATTTTCTGCGGATGTCTTATTTTCGGGGAAACACGGTATGTTAACCATCCGGGTATTTTAAGATAAATCAATTGTCGGAACTGTTTATTCTACTTAAATAGGTAACAAAAATTATCACACTTTATACCTTGACCTGATAAACTTATCATAAAATAACCAAATTTTCCTTAGGGAATAAAGAGAGAGAGTGCCCTCCAATATATCCTTTCTTCCCTTCATACCTACTTTAAAATCGAACTTGCTCTTTAAGAACAAGTGCGATTTTGGAAAGGCCGAAGTGATGTGAAATTCGGATCGAATTAAACGAGTTTAAGTCGTTTAAACAACGAAATTAATGAATTAAAACATTTATTTTAAACAAAGAAACCCTCTATTTTTTCGCTCTTTCGACACTTTTCGGAGGCGGATGTTCATCTTCCCGTCCCCGGAGTAGCTTCCTTTCCCTCCGGAACCTGAAGCTGAATCAACCAGATCTTATCCAAAGAAATCTATGATTGGGGTAAAAAGATAACGTGATATAAGATCTACCGAAGATATAAAAGAGAGGACGACGACGGAAGGGGGTCGACTTTGCCGTCCGTGAACAGATCCGTCATCTCTCGTTGTAGACCATCACCGCCGACCCACCCATCCAGCCGCTCGTCGATCCCGGAGGAGACTTCCCTAGAAGACCTACTGGAGAGAAGCTCAACCTCTATCCGAATTTCTATCCGTATTAGCCATTGAATTCAACAGAAACCCCAAAGTATTGTGAACTCTCTCTCGGCGCGGCCCTTCCAACTCCGCGGAAATGATATATATTCTCTTTGTTAGTTTCTAGTTTTGTTTAATAAATGTTTGTTTTGTTGTTAAAAGTCGTCTTTATTTCGAATATTGTCTACACCTCACCGACGGCCCCTCTCTCCTCCTCCACTCGACCTGACAAAAGAATCCCGACTTTCCGGGACAGAAAAAACCATAAACAAGCCATCCACTGACCAGTGGGCAGTTCTCACCAAACTGTTGCCTATCAAAAAGAGGTACGACTTCGTCCTATTTCCGGCGACCCACATAATCTATAAAATCTTCACAGCTCTATACAAAGTGTCGAGTGAAGCAAGTTAAACCACCGGACGTGTACGAAGCTTTGGTATTTCGTATTTGGCAATTGGTGTTTAAATTAATACGACTGCAGACCGCTCGATGTCGATATTTAAAATTTTTATTTTTGTTTTTGTGATATTTCGTGCAATAAAATACTAATATGAGCCCTCCTCTTTTTTATAGAGTGATAGTTAATATCGGTCGATCTTTAAAACTATCGGAGAACAAAAAATAATAATAAATTGTTAAATTTTGAACAAAAACATGTCATTCGGAGATATCATGGCTTCAAGATCATCTCTGATTTTCCGAAGGTAATTTCAAACGTGGTCACGAAGCGAGGTTTTTATTTCATTATAAATAAATAAGTAGTAGTAGAGAGGTTGCGGCCGACGTTTTCAACGCGAAAACGTGTACGTCGGACGTTTAGCGCCGCCTTCCTGTAAGCCTAGACGTTTGACAATGGCGTTTGGAACGTCGAACATGATTCTACTGACGTTCCAAACGCCATTGTCAAAACTTCTAGACTCACAGAAAGGCGGCGCTGAACGTCCGATGTACACGTTTTCGCGTTGAAAACGTCGGCCGCAACCTTTCTAATGATTTGTTAATTAATTAAAGTTTTTTGTCAATTGGAATAACACTTTTATCGTTTAGTAGACTCTGATTTTAATTATCAGCACTCTCTTTTCGTTTTATTAGAAAACTTTATTTACAGTGAATGTCAAAATTCTCTGAAACAAAAAGATACTTATACGTTTGAAAACGAGAGGACGTTACGGTTATACACGTCATCACAAGTAAAGACAATCGATAGATTGCTTAGGAGTAGAAGTGAATCCTTCAACTATTCACTAAATGTAAAACGAAATATGAGAGTTATCCTAAGAAGCCTAAACTTACCAATCATATCAACGGTATCGTCTTAACTGTGAAGACTGGACTTTAGAAAATTGAAAGAGGTTGTCTGGTCAGACGAAACCAAAATGAATAGAGTTGTTAGTTCAGATGATCGAAAATAGGTGTAGATCAGAACGATCAAGTCTATAACTGAACGAGAAGCACAGACAATTACGAAAATGATTATTACTGCATTTGGTGATTCCACCAAATACATCGCAAGTTCTTTATCACAAGCTTGGTGTGATGAAAAACATGCTGTGGCAATAATGTTTTTGTAAATAATTATTTAAAAAAAATGATTCTACCAAATAATAATAGCTTTCTGTTGACTTTTTTAAAAGCAAACTTCATAGATATCACAGGTTTACTTGTCTACTGTGTGGAAGCTACGCAAAATTTCAAACGCTCATAACTTCTGATAAGTGCATCTTTCGAAGAATTATTAATTAAATGATTATTCTTATTAAACGATTCTAAAATTTACTTTTTAATTCACGAGTAAATGAAATTTTGTAGAATGTAATGTTTACTCAATCTGAAAAATCTAAACATGAAACTGTATATATGCTGCAAACATATTCTTTATTTCAATTAGAAAACTTCCAATAATTAAATTTAATTTTTTAAATTCATCTTTATTAAACGATGTAATCACTGTTGTTCTGTTAGAAAGTTCATTTCTTCAGTCTGTTGTCAAACTACAAAAAAAATTGTATTTTAGAATAAATAATTTCAATAAAATTTAAAATTTAATTTCAATTACGATAAAAGATTATATAAATATCATAAGATGTAATTAAGTTATAACCTAAAATAAAATATTGTCAGTCAAATTTATGAATATTATCATAAAATTACTTACATTATCATTTGCATAATTATATAAATCATCATTTATGTCATTAATAGGTTCTTTGTTTAAAATATCTATCAATAACTGGCAGAATGGGAACAATTTTTTGTTTGTGGTTTTGTAACATTCGATCAAAGATATTGTCTAGAAATAACATTATAATAAGCAATTAAAATAAAATAATAGAATTTTTTTTAAATTTAAGTAATATAAACGGTCAATATAAAAATAATGCTTAAAATTATCAAAACAATTTATTATATTTTTATAATATATAGGCCTATATTAATTAACAAAACATTGCTTTCTTTATTTTTAATTTTTACATTATATCGATAATGAACAATGAATGTTCGTAATGAACAATTGAATGTCGACAGAACGACTGAAGACTAGAAAAACATCTACGGATAAACGAATTATTTATTGTATTCTGATTCACAAGCCTGTTAAATAACACTAGGTGTTAGGAAAAACTAAAATAAATATACAACAAATAAATTCAAAAACATGATATAAAAGTAAACAAATGAGCTAATAAGAAGTGAGACACAAATACAAATACTATTCAAGTGTAAGTGGCCTTCACGACTCTGAATCTGCCGACTCCAGATTCTTATTCTTGATTCTAATTGCGAATGAGGACTTCAAATAGTCATATTCTTGAAATTGTTTAGACATTTTATTAAAATAAAGCTAAGATTAATGACTTTCTGTGTGTTACAAGTGAAATTTTAATAGAATTGTCGATTTTGGAAACTTCGTGGTTAATCTTAGTTGAAAAAAGTAAGTTATCTATTGACGAAGCTGAACATCAGTTGTATATCGTGAATATTCCTCATAATATTTAGTTATTTTTAATACATTTTTATAAGGTAAATTAATTTTTTGTTTAAATAAAATATATATGCTGTATATATAATGCAAAAAGAAATAAAATATTAATTTATTATCAATACTTCAAGAAAATTTAATGAAGTAGCTTTTTCAAAGTATTTTTAAAATAACCAATAAATTAGCTGGTATGTTTTTTTAGAAATTGTAGTTTTATGCGTACAATAATTAGTATAATAGTCGTTGAAATAAATTTAATTATATTCTTTACCACTTTATTTATTTCTGTAAATTCTAAAAATATTAAAATGTATGAAATAATATTACCTTTGACTTTGAATAATATTTATCGCATTGACTTGTTTCCGGAGGAATCTAGAAAAGTTAATTTTCTATTAATTTCTGGTCATATGTCACAATACTATTTAAATCTTATTTGAATGTTTAAACATTATTAGCAAAATATTAATTATAATTTCTGCTACATTCTTGTATTTTTATATATTTTTTTTCTTTTTAGAAAGCATTTTGAATAAGTTAGGAAATGTGGAAACATTAGCTGTTTTGTCACTCCATATGGTAATAAGTTGATACACATTACATGAAACTAAGCGTTGTACTAAACATATGTAATACATATGTATTACATATGTATATATTATGTATATAGTGTACTTCTCTATTAATGTACTCGAAGAGTTATTGAGCTTTTCGTACTTTCAGTAATATACGAAAGAAGTGTTTAGAATCATCGACCATTTGTACGGAACCTCTTGACATTTTTTTCATTGAACAAATGAAATACGTTACATGTTTTATTATTAATAAAAAGTACTCTTAAATGTTTTATTTTCCATCAATAAAAATAGTAATAATTTACAGATATAGGAACCGCTACGAACTGCTAAATTTTTTCTGGACCCAGAAAAATTTCCAGCTTCGCTCTATCGATGTTGTGTTATGACGATGCTCGGCACTCTAAAGTGTTGTTGTGCCACTCCAGTATGAAGTCGAACCTTATTTGAACACCACTGGCTTCATCGTTCTAATTTCCAGTTAGATCGATCTCACAACAAAACTTCTTTATCTCGTTCTCTCTTTGTTTTACTTATTGTAACCATTTCTTTTGCACACCTGAAATCATTTTTTTTCATCTTTTCCTCCATTTCTTTTGACCTTGTTCTTTTCATTTTTATTATTCCAATATTCTAGTTGATTCCTATATTCATTATATCTACACGCTCATTTAATATAGTGTATTTTGAACATTTATATACTAAGTTTATATACTTACACCCGTTTCACTATTTATTTTCGTACGAAATTCTTCCAAAATTTCTCCATTCTAAGATTATAAATAATTAATTTTGTGAATATTTATTTCATTTTTAAACGATTTCGTAAAATACGTAAATAAACTTTACCTTTGTAAAATATTTAAATATTTGCACTTTACAATATTCATCTTTAAACATGCAGTCTATTATTGTCTGAAAAATATATAATAATAATTATTATTATTATACATTAAATCAATAATTATAATACTACATTAATATAGAAAAGTAAATACCGGCATAAACTCGGGTGATTCACATTTGTCTTTATTCTAAATAAACGGAGTTATTTATATATATTTTTTCGAATATATTAATAAATTATAACAAAAATAATTAATTTGTAAAGAATATTAATCAGTAAAATTCATTTTATACCTTGAAATAATCGCTTGATTTATTATTAAGAGCAGATTTGCAGCAACGTACATCGACTTTATGTACCTAGTTAATGAATTAATATTAATTAATAATAAATTTAAAGTTTTAACAGAAATTATATATATTATTTCGAAAACATTTTACCATTGATTCATTAATTTTCTTCATAATACAAGTATTGAAAGTGTCCATGCAGTGATGCTTATTTACACAATAAGGCACTAAAAATTTCATAAATTAAAATAAATAGCATTTCTATTATACAAAGTTTATGAAAAAAAATATATATATAAGGCTTTTAACATTTTAAGGCTTTATTTTTTCGTAATGTTTTTTTTTCTACATCTATACGTATTTATTTAAGACAGCTTAGAAACTACATCTGTACATAGGAACCGTTAGAATGAAAGTGACTCTTGTATAGATGGTATGACGTAACTATAGTTCATCTATCTCTCTTGTAAGGCGAGACTACCCCTATCAACACTTAACAGTCATAAACATTCTAATATAAATATCCTTGTTTTCTATAAGAATATGTCTTAATTGAAAAATTCAAGGGTTGATGTTCTCCACCAATTATTAGACATTTTATCTTTCATTATGGATTATCTCTCTAAATTTATTTTTCTGATATGAGAGTAACTGTTCTTATTTTATTGTTAATGTAGCAATTAATAAAAATTATAAACAGGTTTTTCAATTGTTTTGAGAGATGTTAAGAGCAAATTTTGCTTAGAAACGTTGCATACAGTGTCAAAATATTGTAGAATAAAAATATATATTCTAATGGTGTTTTTTTTTTAAATTTAAAACAAGAAAATTTACATTTCAGATTATTTTTAGGTATTATTAGTTTTAGATCAATTTCGGAATATTTTAAATAAGATAATCGTTATAATTTCACTTGGCAATGTCACTTGCGTGAGTGATTTTAGGAAATAATATAACAAAATGTGAGAAAACGAAATACTTTTGCATTATCTTTAAAAACAATAGTCCAATGCTGTTGAGGATGAACTTTAAGTAACACACTAAGCATAGAATACAAACTTTTTTTTAAAGTTACTTTGTAGGAAAGCCTAAATTGCCTATGCCTAAAATCTCTACTGATTAAAATTCGGTTATTTATATATATATTAGATACGTAAATACTATATTTTCTATTTTTCTAAGAAATACTTACATGATTTTTTTGTTTTACGAATGATATCACATATTACACCGTATAATTCATCGTCGTCATCTTTATCAGAACACATGGAGCATTCTTCTTGCTATGAAATTTACATTATTTGCAATTTTATTATGTTCAAAGATTAAAGTTAAAAATATACTTTATTTTATTTAAATTTAATTCAAAACAGTTGTTTGAGCTTGGCTTTTAGTAATACAAATAGATCTTACTTCAAATCGTTTTGCGTAATCTTCACAATCCTCTATACTGTTCGGTTGCTTTAAAAGTTTAAAATATAAAACATTTAACTAATATGTTTTAACTAAAATATAAAAATATTAATTGACTTTTATATAATTTAGTTATTAAATAAGAAGCATAAGAAAATAATTTGAAAATACTCAACTTACTCTAGCAGCAATTCTCAAATCTTTTTCCATTTTTGTGTAATTTTCTGTTCTCTAAATAAGTTTTAAAAATTTCAATACAGTTAAATACTTTTCAGTGTGATTCTCATTTACTAAATAATCAAACGATTCTAAATACATGCTTAATATAATAAGAAGAATACAAAAATTCGACAGGAAAATGCAGGTTTAAATCTATATTTATGGTCTTAATCTATAACATACACGAATCCTTCCCTCTCCAGGAAATAATACTAAATTTAAAAGTCTGATGGCATCTAACTGCACCCTTTTAGTGTGAGGCCCTAACATATACTGTAGTTTTTTTTTTTTTTAGCTTAAATGTAAATCTTACTCCCGAAAAACGATCAGATTTATTAATCTATATTTACAAATTCTTAGTTAATTCAATTGAATTCAATATTATAAATTGTTAAACTTATCACACTAACAATAAAATGCGAATTCATAATTAAAGATTATTTTACCTCTCTAAAGTAGTCTGTTAAAGTTTTTATACACTTTTTATCAATACCCAAGCAATCAACAACATCCTAAATTAAATAAATTTTTGAATAAATAATAATTTTTTCGTTATAAACTCATTCTTTATTGTCCATAATTCATCATTCATTAATGTTTCAGTCAAAATACTAATTAAATGAAAAGACTCCTAAAAATGTCAACTTGTAGAAGATAATAAATAGATCAAATCCTAACTGCTAATTTTTTGAACAGTTGACTTNAAAATAAATGAATTTTAGATATACTAACGGGCATTATTCTATCCGTCAGACAGTTCTTTTGCAACTAAATAAAAAAAAAACATATATATATATTATTCCTAATAAATACTTTTCAACTTTAAAAAAATTAATTCAATAAGCGTTAAAACATGTATAAATAATTATATACCTTTGTTAAAACATTACAAATAGTAAAGAATCGTCGCACGTTTTTTTAAAAGAAAATTTTTTGCTCGTTTTAAAGTATAATTTTAATTACAAAATGATGTTTAAACTATAATTTCTATCAAATTTTATTTATATATAAAGGACATTTATTTTGGATTTTACTATTTACTTTTATTACAGCGTATCAAATTCTTACCTACGTTTATAACATCAAAATTAAATTAATTAAGTATATTTAATAGATTTTTAACTTAGTTTAAAAATAGAATATTAGTAAAAAAAAATTACCTTTTCACGAAATTCATTGCCCACGAATGCTTGTCTACAACAGAACTTTTCTATTGTTTTTTCCTGAGAAATTCGATAAAATTTTAGCGAATTATATCGAATAATAATAATAATAATAAAATAACAATGATAAATAACTTACTCTTGTTTCACCAATTAAGTTTGTGATACAATTCTTGAACGTGGTCAAACATTCTTTTTCTTATATAATCAATGAAATAATTATTTAATTATATAAAAATATATGTAATAATAATATATTTGTTATTTTAATTAAACTATGAAGAAAATATATATAATTTTATTAAATTCTCTTTATAAAAACCAAAAAAAAAAAAAGTATTTTAAGATTTTGATTAAAATTGAATTTTACATTAAACTAATTACTAATTAGGAGTTACCATTTCCGTATATATCGTTAATACAGAGAAAAAAGGTTATGACGAAGAAGATGTTTAAGCATTTCATGTTCACTCCGAATAATGAATTTTTGGAATTAACACAGAACTCATATAACTTCCTTTTGTGTACATTAAACAGGTGCTGTGATTTTTATAATTACATCTACGCTTTGCTTTTCAAACGCATTATTGACAATATTAATGCATTCCTTGCAAAAAAATTTTTAATTAAAATTCAGAAATAAAACTACAGAATTTAATATTTAATGACTTTTTAAATGTTGTGTATTTTGAAACCGTGTCCTGCTTTATAATTGTGGCGTAGTAAACACTAGTATTGTGTTTTATTCCAAAGACACATGGTAAGTTTTCCATCAAATTCCTTTATTAGTTGAGTCCATACGGTACATTTTTTGTGCTCGTTTCGGGCTTTGCCTCTCTTCAGTCAACTAAAATACAATATATATCCTATATATATATTTTTTAACCTATTACAAGAGAATTTACATAAAACAATGAGTACATAAATGATATATAGACGTACACCTTTTGGTTACACTCTTACTGTATAATTTAAAAACATGTAAAATCTGCTTTAATCTTTTATAAATAAACTAGTATATATTACAAATTTTAAAAAAAAGGTTAAAATCTTCCTGAATCTTCCCTTTTAGGTAGATTTTGATACAATACAACTGTAAAAATTTTTTCTACCTCCTCCTCCCCCTCCCTTTTTGTCGTTTGCGCTGGTATCTCTAGTGTTGCCACGTATGACGTTCGCCATCTTGTGGTCTGATTTTTACTAAATTCCGTCTTGGAAGAATTATTTCTAGGAAAAATTGCTTTTCACAGAAAAAAATTTAAATTTTTAAATGTTATAAATATTTAATAATTTATTAAGTAAGGAATGTGTTTAATTGCATAAATTAGTATTTAAATCAGTAATCCTTTTAAACAGTTGATTATAGACGTAATTACTTTTTATAAATTTTACTTTTATTTATTTACTTATTCAAATAATAATCACGAAATATTTTAGTTTTATTTTTTTCCTTTTTATTTTCTCTTATTAATGAGAAGTTATTTAAGACTACAGGAATATAATGCCAAAAAGTAGTTATGTGTATGCAAATACTGTATTCTTTTATAAGTTAAGGTGCATACTTACACTATAGGTAGATAAAACAAAGTGAGTGAATATCAAGTTTTATCATTAAATCCTGTACGCAATCTTGAAATATAAAGCTTTTTTAAAACTGTATGCAGGATTAAATTATTTATACTTATTGATGCTTACTTGTAATAATAAACATTATTTAAATTTAAACCCCAATTTTCCTGAATTTTTATATTATGAAAATATTTTTAAAGTCAATTAAATTATAATCAAAAATCAATTAAAATTATATTTACAAATGCATAGTTCAGTTGTTAGCAAAAGCAAAGGTGTATTATTTAAACACAGCCGTTCCTCTTTATATAAGGAATTTTCCACATTCGTGACGTAAAAAATTTTGAAAAATTCATATAATTTTAAAACATTTCTTTTAATTAATTAAAAATAATTCTACTCTTTACCTGTCATTTTAATAGATAAAAATTATTTGATTTAAAAAAATTAACTTTATTTATTTATTTATAATTATAGAAAACCTCGCTTACATGACCACCTCTGAAATTCACCCTGTAAAACTGTATAAATTTTATTATAAATCAAACTTCTTGGTCCACCTCAATTAAGTGGCCAAGATTGGAATAACCTAAAGTGATATTAATTCCGGTTTACGTAGTCAACAGAATAGGGAAATTCAACTTTTCTAAGCTTAACGTATTGTTTAAAGAACTTTAAATTCAACGTACAATTATTTATTATGACATCATCACAATGCCAGGCTCAAACTAATATGGACAATGTCTCCGCCTTAAATTAGTAGTGGCTTGCTCCTATACATCAAACTTTTCCTTTTACAACAGAGTCGTGCTAGTCATCTATCTAACACCTTTCAGGGAAAATTTTTGAATTGAAATAACGTGATTTTCGGTTTGTATTGAATGTTCGTATATAGTTAATCGAGGCTTTCTGTCCCTACGGTTTCCATATCCGGTCTCGTCTTTAATCTATCTAACTCCGTTCTCAAAATTAAGGAAAGACAGACGGACGGATGAGTGAGGGAATTTATAGGTCCATAATTTTTCAACTTGCAGCCCAATGAGTGTTGTTGCTATATTTTGGAACTCTTTGCCTCCCACAGATGATATTTAAGTAAAATAATCTATATTTATACACCGAGCAAATTAAATTTATCTTTGAAATTTAGTAAATGAAAGATAATTATATATGTTTTTAATAATTTTACACAAAATTTGATTGTATTTTGTAAAAATATAACTATAAATCAGCGATGATCGGTCTATATTACCGATACTTTGCTTGCCACACTCAGCAATTAAAAGTAACAACGAGCCTGATGTAAACGCCAATTTAATTCTTAATACTTTTTCGACACTTTTTTGATTTCTATTTAATAATTTTTCCGAATTTTCCTGTTAAAATAAAATATTTAAATAAAACCTTTACTAACGTTTCATAAACATATTCGTTGCGTACTAAACAATTGTATTAATATTTGTATAATACAGAAGCCTAATGAAAACAGCTTGTATTCATTTTACGTGTACTCTGTTAATTAGTAATAAATAACTATGAGCCTGCTGGCCTTATGTTATAATTTCAGACTTGTCACACACACCTTTCTGATTTTTATTCATTAACGCGTGATATCCCAGAACACTTTTCGGCTTTTTTTTAATAGCCCTCTCATACAGGGTGTCCCAAATTAAACTTCACATTTTCCAGCTGGTTACAGCAAAAAATATTCATCAGAAAGTCATGAAATTTTGGAAATGCCTTAATAAAACATGGGAATTTTCCTAAAAAAAAAAAAAAAGTTAATTTCAAAAGTCACCACTAAAGGGCTGAAATCAAACTGAAATAGTGACACATTGAATTGCGAGATCCATGCAGTTTTTGGTTCTGTGTTATCTCAAAGACTTGATCTACCGTGATCCCATAACATCGCTGTCAGACCTAAAGGACAGCATACCACGCCATGTGAGTAACACTACAAGGCATACATTGCATACAATCATCGTTGAACCTGCTGTTTTACGCTTTTAGATGGTAGCAGACAATGGTGGCCATTATGTTTAGAACATGTTTTGTTCACAATCTGTCTAATGTCTAGTAGTTTTGTATAAAGTTATAATATACCCTCTAATGGTGGTTTTGGAACAAGCTTTTTTCCCCTCTAGAAAAAATTCCCATCATCTCATTAAGGAATTCCCAAACTTTCATGATTTTCTGATGAATTGTTTTTGCTATAGCCAGCTCGGAAATGTCAAGTTTAATATATTGAAATACAAATGCACTCTGTATTTCAATATTCTATTACTCAGTGTTAATGTTAACCTGTGTGAAAGTTTAAATTAGCCTACTGTTATATATATATTGCAAAGGATGTACAGCACAGAATTAAGTAAATTTTTTATATTATATATTTATTTATTTATTGTTTACTTTTATAATCAATATTAAACTTTTACAGAATTCAGTACTAGGCTTTAGTTTAGTATGTAGAATATTTCATAATCCCACCCAAATAACCACCTCACTTTTATGTGGCCAGAAATTGTATAGCCTGAAGGTAGCCACCTAAGTAAGATTTTACTGTAAATTAAATAAACTATAATTGTTAAAATAAAGCGCAGACTATCCATTTTATATTTCTATTCAATTGCTGTTAAATATAATTATTAATTTATTCCTTTTTTTCGAAAATTATAATGCTGACATTGAGTTTACGAGAACTTCAGTTTGAAAAGAATACAATATTAGAAATGTAAATTGCATTTTAAAAAGTCCAGCAATGAGTCGCTTAACTTTCCCGGCAACATTTAAAACTGCGTCTGGCGCCATCTGTTATCATATTTTATTTTTAAAACTTTTAATATTTTAAATTATTATAACGTGGCAATAAGCTTAATTTTGAGGGTAGGGATGTGTTTTATAAAAAATTATAAATGTTAATAATGAATAAAATCCTCATTGTATTCAGATGATAAACCAGGTGAAAAATAAAGATTGTTTTTTGTGAATAAGACCTCCTCTTTTTGCAGAAACAGAAACACCGATATAATAAGTCTTAATAATTTACCACGGTAAGTCTAAAGTAGACAATAATATAACAAAAATAGTATACAATAAGGACATAGAGGCAAATGAATTAATAAAGAGATAGGAAATTTATAAATATCTCTGTTAAATATTATGAACAAACTAGCTGCAAGGACCCGCTTCGCTGGGTTTTTATTTGTATGTAATATAGTTTTTTTTATATATATAAAAGACTGTTTTTCTAAATAATCTAGAATCTAGCTGCAAGGACCCGCTTCGCTGGGCAAAAAGTAGCGATAGTGAAGATTAAGATAATTACGTTATAGCTAATCTTACCCGTTTTCACAGAATGCAAGAATTAGGTCCCCCGTTTTCAGACTAATTAGAGAATTTTTACGTTTAGTCAAACGAACTATTTTCAACGTTTATGGAACGTTTACAATCGTTCTATAATCGAACCAATATTCGAATTTTATGTTCGAATTTAATTCGAACAAATTCGAACAAATTTGAACATTGTTCGAATTAAATTCGAACAAATTCAACAAATTCGAACAAAACATTCGAAATAGAAAGCCACTTTCAACTACTTTTAGCCTCATATCTCCCGCACCCTTATAGCTATCGAGACGCAACCACCCCTATGCACGAATGGAGATTTGGGGCTACCACCACATACAAACACCATTCACGTGCGATGTGTAGTTTTTGCGAAAAAGTGAAATATAGGGACATACATGTTCATTTATATATATATATATATATAGATTCATAACTGTTCTTAGATTCTATAAGGATACAAGAATACTGATATGAACTTGTTTACAAAAATAGAATTGGAGTATTTGAATGGTTTGATCAGATGCAACAATTGGGCGATCTCCCAAAGAAGAATTTATCCCGAAAGACTTTCTATGCAAATTTGGATGCTATTTTGGTGTTAGACACGTAAAGTAAACCCAAAAATCTTCCATTGATGAAGCGCAAACCCATGAACAACTACCAGTATTTAGTCGTTTTAAATAAGAAAATTAATTTAAAACTAATGCTAATTTGCAAAAAAAAACCGTTTTCATCCGGTTGCTTCATTCAAAAAAAAAAAAAAAACAAATTCTTTATGCAATTCAAAAAGAAATACAAAATATTTCTATGTATTTCGTAGCCTTTTCACTCACTCGGCTGAAATTTTTGAAATTTAATAACCATCCTTAAACAAAATTAGTAGTTTTATCCATTATTTTTAAACCTGATTTTGTTGTCGAGCAAGGCCTGAAGACGAGTAACGACGTTATGAAGCGCACGAAACAGCATTCCTCAAGGTGTCATTGATGCATCCCATTGTTTAGAGTCTTTTAGCATTGCCAATGATATTGGGCGATCTCTGTAAACCCTATACTTCAGATAGCCCCGTAACCAAAAATTGCAGGGCATCAGGTCTCTGATCATCTAAGTGGCATTCATGCTGAAAGTGACTCGATTCTCTCCAAATAACAATTGTTTCACAGGAAAAGCAACATGGGGTGGTACTCCATCTGGTATGAATATCACAACATTCAAAGCTTGCCTTTCCTCCATGTTAGCATAACGCTGACCAGTGATACTGACCATTTCAAAAGCAGAAATCTACGTGACGTCTTATGATTCCAATTAATGATAAAAATGTTTTAATTATTATGTTATTTTTCTATAATTTATATTTTATAAAAGTGGGTTATGAAAAATGTGAAAAATTAAACAGTAATTAATTTGCTATGTGAAGTAAAAAATGAATTTTTCCCCCTAAAACATATCAATCATTATTCTGAGAACACATTTTACGTGCTAACAATATGTTTTTTATAATATTTATTCATTGTAAGTTAAAATAATTTGTAAAGTAAAACACTGGCTGTAATTTAATATATCGTAATATCATATAGGCTACGTTTTTATTTCAGTCGAATAAAATTGATAATTTGTAATGAAACGTATTGTGAGGAATTAATAAATGTTGTGTCTAATTTATTATTTAAACTTAATTCAACTGTTTAATAGTCATTGTGAAATTATTATTAAATAATCAAAATTTTATAAATTTCAAGAAAAATTTATTAGCATTTAAAATTCTACATTATTTTTTTAATATTTCATATTTAAATTTATTTTATAATTGAAAGAAGCGTATTTAATCGAATATATAAAGTTTTATTTCCAAATCATCACTCCAGCATACCTGAAAGAAATATTAAAATATTAATTCAATCTTTTATAATTATTTCAATTTCAAATTTCATAAAACTAAAATTCTGTCTTATTTTATAAACGTTTAGTAGATAGGAATTCAATTAAAGTATAATTTGTATAGAAAAATACAAGAAAATTCTCTACTATTATCATTATATAATGCTTATATATCTGTAAGTAATGCCTTAATTATCTGCTATATATATATATTTAAGAATTATAATATCGCAATAATTTGTAAAATAAATTTGAAATTATAATTTGCTGTGATCGTATTCATAATGATAAATTCCGCGTCATAATAGCTTAACGTCTCTCTCCCTAAAGTGTTGCTAGTCATTCTAATGGGCTATATTTCCGTGCTATATTTCCGTATAATGGACTATATTAGTGTTGCTAGTCATTCTAATGGGCTATATATATGTATATTTTATATACATATATATTGAACATACACTAAGTAAATGGCTGAAATTTCAATGTACAAATGATATTTAAATATAAGCACCATGAAGAACGTAAACACTATTCATCTCTAAGTGCTTGTATAAAGATGTATATACTTTGAGCAGGTGTAAATGTAGGGGACCAAGGATACGTACTCCATATTGTTTTTCGGAGAACATACACCTATAGTTTCCACTCAAACGTCTTTACAGTCGACCCCCTATAACACTGTTGATAATTCCGTTTTATATGAATTCCATGTTGTACGAGTCACTTAGATTTTACAAATACGTGAGCTGTTCACAGCCCGGCACACGTATTTGTAAAATCTAAGTGACTCGTACAACATGGAATTCATATAAAACGGAATTATTAACAGCGTTATAGGGGGTCGACTGTATATAACTTAGCTTTATAACTTTAAAATTAGTAATTTGTTCAAATAGGCCTAGAGATTACATCTTTAAGAATGAAATACCAATAGAATTATTTGTGTTATGGCGCATATTTCATCATTTTTTAAGCCACTGACTCTGATAAAATTTCTGCTTAAATATTAAAAATATCTACAAAGATTACTTACCGAAAAGAAATCAAAACATGGTTCAGAATTTATTATTTAATATTTCTGTAGTCACGTCACAGAAATAATTTAAATTAGGATCTTTGTTGTATTCACATTCTTTAACGTATCGTTTCTGATATAAAAATAAAATTTATTTAGTGATTAAATAACAAAAATTTTCTTCAAATGCTAAAATGGCTACCTGAATTTGCTTGAAATTAATTCCACATTCTTTTTTAGAATTTGGTTTCTATAAATTAAAATTTTGAAATGTATTAATATATTAAGGCCATAGTTCATTTAATTTACATTCATATTTAGTCCCAATGCAATTATATAAATGTAAATACTGTATATATGATTGCTGTAATTAGTCTAGAGAATGTCACATGATAACAGGACGCCATTTTCTGGTCAAATGCTAGATATATGTCATTTAATTCTTTATAGATTTAATTATAAAGCTAGTAATTAGACAGATTTCTTAATGTTTAATTCTGTGGAACATCGTGTTGTCAATACAACATTAAATTATGTTTTGTGTTTTATCGTATTTAACTATAAAATACTAAATTATTTAATTTCAAAGTTCTTTTTAACAAATTCTTTAAAATACTTACTCCAACAGTTTTGCTAATTTTCTTAGTGAATTTATCCACAGTGTATTTTGTCTGCAATACAAATGTATTTTAATTTCAATATATTTGCATTATATTAAATAATTTACGTAATATTTATTGTTAACATGTTATTATATGAGTAAGAACTTTCACGTTCTAAGAGTCCATTTGTGACAAAAATATATTTTATAAATAAACTCGTAGAACTAACAAATTATTTTAAAAAAATTAATATTAAACTTTTTTTTATCTTAGAATATAATATAATCTTTATATTTAAACCAAAATTATAAATTTAATCCCATTAATTTCAATGTATTATATTGTTTTCCTTCCAGTCCTAATGATATAAATTATATATGTTTAACATACATATAGACTACATATAATTAATATTTAATTTTAATAACACAAAAACACTGATAATAATAATAAGTAATATGCTAAAGTTATTTCATAAATATTTAAAAACAAATAATTAATTAATAATAGATTGACAGAGATAAATTTCAAATAAAATACACTAAATTTATACTGAAAATCTTTCAAAATTATCCTAATAAGTAAGTGTATTAAGTTTATAATTTATTTTGTATACTAGTACTTTCTATGTATTAACAGGACTTATTATACTGGAAAATTATGGATGCAGATACCTGTTAATACATAGAAAGTACTAGTATACAAAATAAATTATAAATAGATAAAAAAAAGGACAAAAAGGCATAATAATTAAGTGTATTAAGTATTTATGGTTAAAATCCTGTTATAAAGGCAAAATATTTAATACATTAAACTAGAGAAATTTAAGGAGTTTTTATAAAATTTAACAAAGTAAAATTTTAAAATATATTATTACCTGTAAATACGTATCTATAAGAGGTTTATTACAATATTTCACTTCCTTCTGACAACCTTCCAAGATCTATAAAATATAATTAAACTAGATATACAAAAGAATAATTTTGTATATACAGTATTAAAAATAATGAACGTGTAATTAAAATTAGCAATAGCATATTTAAAATCTAAAATAATAAATAATTCAAATATTATAGATATGAATATTTACTGGCTGATACATGTGCTGCAAACAATCTTTTTTATTCTGCAAATAACAGAAATATACTTATATAAATATTATAAT